ATTAGCTTCTTATGTTCCATACATTGCATGCTACCAATTCGCTAGATTCACAATTTGACCTTCATCAAACTTCTTACCTTTCTCTGTTTCATCACATTCTTCTCAACCTTTGTCTTCAACCCATTTTCCCATTTGAATTTCTTGCATCATTCCTGTTGTTTTCCCCCAATTCTCTTCACCCTTCTTCACATTTTCATTATCATTTCTGGGTTTAATCTTATTTTATGGAGTTCTTGTTGGATTGTACTGAACATTGCTCATGGATTGATTGGGGAATGATGAATTTCATTCGGGTTGTTCGTGTCACTCGAGTTTGAGCTGTTTTATGCCCATTTCTTCTCGTATGGATGTGTATTTTCAACCCACCAAAAGGGCAATTGATGATCTTCCCGATGAGTGCCTCTTTGAAATCTTTAAACGTTTGCAAACTGGGAAATCAAAGAGCTGTTGTGCTTGTGTGTCCAGGCGGTGGCTTATGCTTCTAAGCACCATCCGCCGGGCTGAAAATGGCAACAACTCATTTGGGTCCTCAAAGTCTGATGATACTGAAATGAGCAGTGGTTGTAATAATGGATATCTTACAAGACATTTGGAGGGGAAGAGAGCAACAGATATAAGACTTGCTGCTATTGCTGTAGGAACCAGTAACCATGGGGGATTAGGGAAGCTTTCTATTAAAGGGATGAACTCCATATGTGGAGCTACTAATGTTGGTCTTACATCAGTAGCCCATGGTTGTCCATCGCTTCGAACGCTCTCTCTTTGGAATATCGCTTCGATTGGCGACGAGGGCATGCTGGAGATAGCTAAAGAATGTCATTTGTTAGAGAAATTTGATATATGTCAATGCCCTTTGATCACCAACAGGGCTTTGATAGCAATAGCTGAAGGCTGTCTGAATTTGACTGTTTTAAGTATTGAATCTTGTCCAAACATTGGGAATGAGAGTCTGCAAGCTATTGGAAGATCGTGTTCTAAGCTGCAGTCCATCTCTTTAAAGAACTGTCCGCTGATTTCGGATTGTGGCGTTTCGAGTTTGATTTCGTCTGCTTCATGTTCTTTGCATAAAGTGAAGCTTCAGGCCTTGAATATCACTGATTTCTCTCTTGCTGTGATTGGACATTATGGAAAGTTTGTCACCCATTTGACCCTTTGCAGCCTCCAAAATGTGACTGAGAAGGGGTTTTGGATGATGGGGAATGCTCAAGCTTTGAAGCTATTGAGCTTATTGACAATAACTTCCTGTCAAGGAGTTACTGATGTGAGCCTTGCAGCCATAGGCAATGGATGTAAAAGCTTGAAGCAGATATGCTTTAGAAAGTGCTGTTTCATTTCTGATGATGGACTTGAAGCCTTCTCCAAGGCTGCAAGAACACTAACAGGCCTTGAATTGGAGGAATGTAACAAGATCACGATATCGGGTATCGTCGGTTCATTGACAAACCATGAACCAAATCTGAAATCTTTAGTACTTGTTAAGTGCTCAGGAATCAAGGATACAGCACTGCAGATTCCCCTGCTCTTTCACGGCTCGTCTCTTCGGAGGCTATCGATACGCCATTGTGCTGGTTTTGGTGCTGCTGCTAGGCTAGTCACACTTGGGAGGCAATGCCCTCAGCTTCAGCAGCTTGACCTTGTGGGGCTCTATGGTTTAACAGATGCAGTGCTGCTTCCTTTACTAGAGAGCTGTGGAGGACTTGTGAAAGTGAATCTCAGTGGCTGCTTGAATTTAAGTGACGAATCAGTTCTTGCCTTGGCTAGACTCCATGGAGCAACCATTCAGCTGCTTAATCTAGATGGGTGTAGGAAGATCACTGATAAGAGCTTAGTGGCAATAGCAGACAAGTTAGTAGTTCTTAATGAGCTACATGTTTCGAATTGTGCAGCCTCGGATCACGGGCTCTGCGCGCTTGCTCGTTCAGAGCATGTCAATCTGTTAGTACTCTCATTGGCTGGCTGCTGTGGGATAACAAGTAGAAGCTTGGCTTCTCTTGAAAGATTGGGGAAGACTCTGGTGGGGTTGAACCTCAAAGGTTGTAACTCCATCAGCAGCAGCTCAGTTAAGGCGCTTGCAGAGAAGTTGTGGAGCTGTGACATCCTCGTATAAACAAGAGACCAAACAGACCATTTTGTTCAAGCTCTCTTAACATGAATGCTTGTTTCTATCTGGGTTTTTACTGATCTAAATGAACCAAATTACTAGAAAACTAAGTAGCCAAAAGCCAAGCTCTGGTCTTGGTTGCAACCCTTTCATTAAAAACTTGTTTTGTTGAAGAACACTCTCTTTTTTTGTGGGTTTGGTTTGGATTTGTTTGTTGTACTCTGCAACTTTTGATTGTACTTAAAGTCTCATTTAGTTACAAAAGTGTTTGAGCATTGAATTCAAAGAGACAAAACCACCACAGGGCAAAGGCTAAAAGAAGCAAGCAAAACTTAACAAACGGCTTCAAGAATTCACCGTCTTTGGTCACTGGTAATGATGAGATGAGAGACGGCAGAAGAAAGGAGTGGCAATAGGGACAGAGAGAGGACCCTCTAGGGGGGTAGGGTACCCTAAATGATATGAGGATAACATGGGGTTCGTTCTCTGACACGTGGGATCTCACAATTTACCTCCCTTTGGAGTCTAGCGTCCTCATTGGCACTCCTCGGTGTTCACCCCCTTCGAGACTCAATGTCAACCAATGCGGGATCTCCAATCTACCCTCTTTGGGTACCAGTCTCCTCACTAGCACTCGTTCCTCTCTCCAATTGACGTGGGATCTCACAATCCACCCTTCTTCGGAGTCCAGTATCCTCACTGGCACTCCGCCCGGTGTTCACCCCCGTTCGAGGCTCAGTGTCCTCGCTGGCACACCGCATGGTGTCTAGCTTTCATACCATTTGTAACAGCCCAAGCCTACCGCTAGCAGATATTGTCCTCTTTGAGCTTTCTCCTCAAAGTTTTTAAAACGAGTCTACAAAGAAAAGATTTCCACATCCTTATAAAGAATGTTTTGTTCTCCTCTTTTCGAGATGATTCATATTGTTTACATAATCTCACTCTTCATGTTCCTGAATTTTCTTTTTCAATACTATTCCAGCAGCTTGGTTGAAATATTCAAACTTTATTCATATCATATGAACCTTTCATTTAAATTTCCAAGAGAAATTCCTTCTATTTTCTTACCATACATAAAATGGAATATGATAGATATGAAATGTTTGTAACCATGCAAATCCAAAACACATTAAAGATTGTGGGCATAGGAGGCCAATAATTGCATCTTTATAGGTAAAGCCTTAAATGAAGGGAGGATGGCAAAATTAAATAGGAAGCAAACAAAAAACAGAAGTCCTTTTTGTGGGCAGTAGACCTTGTTTCTTTGTACCTCTTCCTAGCTACATTCCTCTTATAAAGTCTTCAGCCCTCACATAATCATTTTCATGTTCTTAGTTAGCCGTAGATATTGTCTACTTTGACCCGTTACGTATCGCTGTCAGCTTCACGATTTTAAAACGCATTTACTAGGGAGAAGTTTCCACACTTTTAACGGGTAAATTAAAACCGTCTTAAACTATAGACTCTAAGTTGTTCTGAGACTAAAAGGCGAGAGAAAACTCGAACCCGGGTCAGCTGGTGTTTCTCCATTGGTGAAAAGGAAAAGAAAAGTAAAAAAAAGGTTGAATTTATTGAATTGGGACCCAAAAACTGATAGCAGACAAAGGCTACTCCATTTCACTGTAGGATATTTTGTCAACACTTCATAGTTCATAGACACACAACCTCTTCCATTAATCCCTATCTCTCTCTCTCTCTCTCTCTCTCTCTCTCTCTGCCTTCACAAAATCACTCAAATATGGCTTTAAAAAGCTCTCTCCTTCTCATTCTTCCTCTCATATTTTCCCTTTCTCTCTCTCACCCCACATCAGGTAAACACCATACTCATATTTATGAATCAATTTGTTAGTGTTTTTTTCACTTTTTTTGGTGTTTGGAGCCTCAGGGAATGAGGATTCTTCAAAGCAGAAGGAATTGGTAATTGGGTCAAGGCCGCCACGGTGCTTCAACAAGTGCTTGAATTGCAGGCCATGTGTTGCTGCTTTGGTTATTTCTCAGCGCCATAAAGGGGTTCATAATAATGCTTTTTCTAGTTTGGAGGCCGCTCTTCCAGCCCCTAGGGATGATGCCTATTATCTTCTCTCATGGAAATGTAAGTGTAAAGATAAGTACTTCCAACCTTAGAAACCAAAATAAAGGCTCATTCTCTTCCCAGGTTTCTTCTTTATGGGGATGAAATCCAATGGAGAATGCTTGTAAGTACATTATTTAATGCGAATAAGTTAGTTGTTTTGGTTGAATCAGATGGATGGATTATTGTCCATAAACCGTCCATTGGACCACTCGACTTTTCTGTCCTTTTCCTTTAAAGAAAATGAACTATTGTTTATGGTAATAATCATACCATTTAAATGTAAGAACCCAAACTCAAAACTAGTGCGAGCAGATATATATTGTCAGTTTTGGCCTATTACGTATCACCATTAAGGAGAGGTTTCCACTGTTTCCTTGTCCAACCAACGTGGGATCTTATATTAAAGCTCAGTTCTAAGTTGAGTCTATCTCGGGGGTGAAAGAGCCATTGTTTTGTAATCAACTTAGACATGATGAGTAGCAGCAAGAAAACAATGTTTCTGGTGGACCATGTTCAGGTTTTGTGTATTCAAAGAGACGTACCTTTTCCTCAACAGCAACGAGCCAAATTCAATCCAATACCTGAGAGCACTCTAAGAGATATTAAGACAGATCCAAGATTAAGTAAAGAAGATGATAAAAAGCATAAATTAACTGTCTCCGTCCAACATCTTACCTTAAGTTGTCATCGTCGTCGTGTCAATGATGAGTAACTTCGACTCTGTTTTATATATAACGATTTTGCCAACCTTTAATAAGATTCGCAAAAGAAAACAACTTTTAATTATTCTAAACAAGAACAACAGACCTGCTGTAAGAACAAAGATGGTTTACATTTGGCCATAAGGGCTTCGCTTCCACAAACATACAATATTCTGAATGTAGTAACATTTTATGCAAATGATTCATTAAAATAACAGCTCTCAGCAAAAAGATCCTAAATTTAGTTTCAATGACATTCTGTACAATCCAAGCAGAATTTCCTATGTGGATGTCTTTTTCACTTTTCCATCCTCTTATTTCCAAGGGGTCGGGGTCGGGGTTGGCATAAAGAAAATTAAGCATACACACACAAACCGTACATACTTCCAGTTTTACATTATTTGCAGCTTAGCCTTTCCGTTTTCTAATTCATAACAGCATATATAACGTTCAGATCATGGACAAAGAGAAGCTTCATGAACACCTGCAGCATCGTTGATAAAAGCATCTCATCATGATGAACAGCTGCTTTTGGCATTTGCTCCATAGAACCAGTTAGTAACCAAGCAGGGCTTCAGTTCCCTACACTCTCTGATGGTTTCCAGATTATATTTTCTAGCTTAGCACAGAAATTCTTGTAGAACTACAATGCCACATAAACAAGAAAATACAGTTTATTAAAAATAAATATATCTAAAGGATTTAGGCGTCCCTGTGTCTTTTTGAGTACCAAGATCTAATTGTATCAAATTACCTTGTGATATTCTAGAGTGTCTCCTGCAGCCTTGCGAACGTCCACCATAAAAAGTGACGGGGCCACTTCATAAATCTATAAACCAGAAGTGAATTTAATAAGCAAATGATTTGAATAGTTATAAAACCTCGGTTATCAACCATCATGGTTATGAGAGTACCTCCAGCACAGCTGCAAACTGTGAAGCCCTGTGTCCAGTCCTTCTTTCCAACCTTGTCTGTAAAGAAAATTTCAATCAAAATTAAAATTAATATGTAATTCCAAAACCATGTCACAGTTTCACTCCTCAAGAGGCAAGAATAACAGTTGCACCTTGAAATTACGTGTGTGGACATTTAAACCCATTGCTTCTGCCACTACTTCAATGGTAGATATTATAAAGTTAGCAGGTTTACGAGAAACAAAACGTGTTTGCCGCTTTATATAGTCCTGTCATGGGAAGGAAAGAATGATGATGAGGAATGGTAAATCTCAGAATTCCAACAAGTACACATACAATGCAAGATGGATACATTATGGCCTGAAAGGATAAAAGAATAGAGCACTTGACATTCTATGTCAAAGAAGAAAAACAGGGCTTGAAACAAGCTAACCTGTCGCCGGTCAAATAATGGTGACAGATTTAACCCTTGAGATAATGTTATCATCTCAAATGCATTCATCATCAACGGACCATCGTCACTTTTTTCTGACTGATCAACTACATATTCATTCTGCAAAATGATAACTATTGATGAGAGCGAAGAGAATTAATTTAGTACACAAATATGCATGGAAAACAAGCAAATTATTAACAAGATCCAGGAACACAAGCTTTAAACTTGAAGCAAATTAGAAAAGAAGAATGCATTTCATTGCACAAAAAATTCAGTATAGTATGCACCATACAAACCTGTGATCACGTGCAATGAACAATAAGATCAAAAAGCAATTTAAACATAACCGTGAAAGTTAGGCCATTTGTTTCATACAGAAATACTCTCTCCTGTAAGGAGGGGCGGATTCTGGCAGATTCAGGTAGTGTTCATGGTTGTATATCTTTGTACACAGAATACAAAGCCCCAACTGTTTTCCTTTTGAAGAGAAGCAAAACCATAAGTAGTAATAAAGGAAACAAAAACCAACCTCAATGCCATAAAAAACAGCCCGTACATCATCTAAGTTTACTTCCTCAACTTCTCCTAGTTTAGCAGGCATGTAGTTTCTTCTGAACCATGGGTCTTTTCTGATTTCTTCAATTCGAATCCGCTACATTGCACAAATGAAAACCTATAGTGAAATTTTTTCACGGAATACAACCAGGTATTAAATCCTACATGATGTGGAGAATATTTTTTCTTTATTTAAGATGCTCCATGACAACACCGATGAATGCCAAAATTTTACATGAACTCAACCCACCCAACCAGACCAATATTTCCAATACTCAGCAGCATAACCAATACATCATTAAAACCCAAACCCCTACCCTATGATACAAATAAAGGCAGGAAACGCCAAAATAGTACACTAATAAATAATGATTGAACTAGTGGGTTTATGGTGAACCAAAAATCTCAGAATTGGAGAATTGACAATTAAAATATCTAAACTGAAAAAACTCACAGTTTTAGGATTCGGATCAAGGATCTTCTGTATCAAGGACTTCGCACCAGGTGAAAACCAATAGGGGCAGGAATACTCCGCTGCATTTATCTATGCATCAGAAACGAAGTTGTTAGAAACTTATCATTCACAGTTGTGAAAGCACTGAGCAATCATCTTATTTTGACTGAGAAAATCAGTTCAGCCGTGCATGCTTCCAATCCCCAGAACATAATGGGAGAAAAAAAATTAGCCCCAACATTCTATAAATTGGATATCTATTGTAAATGTTGGTGACAAGGACAACCGAACCTCCACCCATCTCCACAATAGTATATATCGTTTACTTTCAACAAAAACCCTCATGACTTTTCTTTAGGAACCATCTAAAGGGCCTTGTACCAATGGAGATAATTACCCTCGCTAATTTACCCACGATCACTTCCTTTCCTAGCCAATGGGGGATTTTGTTTACACTTTTTTGACCGTTGGCACCTAAAAGAGCATTTTTGTCTCTCACACAATAGACTTCCTATTTATAAATATGAGATAATCATTCAGTTCTAAGAAACTATGGTGATGTAAAGATTGGAAACAGACCTTCATATTTAGGGTGGGGAGGCCTGACTCTGAAAAAGGAAGATATCCGGCCATTAGTACATAGAGGATGACTCCACATGACCATATATCTGCAGCTGCACCATCATAACCCTGACCACGAAGCACCTGCAAGGAGCAGCTCACATAATGATTTGAAAAACAGAATAATAAAGAAGATAGACATGAGCATATTCCTACATCATTCACAACCTAATGAAACAGACCAATAGAATGGAACACCTACTTAAGAGCATTTTAACAACATAAAGTACATACATCGAGGCAAGGATAGCCTCACATCCTGGACAATCCTTAAAACTGACAAATCATGAGTCTTTAACTTGTACTTATATGTTGACATGGCTTATGAATAATGTACCTCAGGCGCAACATAATTAGGAGTTCCACATGTGGTGTGAAGCAACTCAACACCCTGATTAGAGACAAAGCAAAATAGGTAAGAAAGGCGAGTAACGTGCATATAACTATAAACAAAATTTCTATCATTCAAGGCAATTGTCATTCTACAATACTTGTTGAGACAGCGCACTCAGTCCAAAGTCAGAAACCTTCAGATTTCCATCAGCATCAAGAAGAAGGTTTTCAGGCTACGACAAGGAAAGATAGCGTTCATTAGGATCACAACTTATGAAATAATTTTTTCCCAGAACCGCGAACTATACTCTATTTAAAAGTTTTGCACCTTAAGGTCCCTGTGGTATACACCCTTGCTGTGACAATGAGCAACTGCATCTATCAGTTGTTGAAAGTATCGTCTAGACTCAAATTCTGGAATCTTCTTATGAAGAACCTGCGCAGATAAATTATATATAAATATTAATTAGACAGTCCAGATACTTACCAATCTAATATAAGGAAGGTGAAATATTATTCAATTATTTTAGACTGGAAAGCCGTACTATTTTATCATATAGTTCACCTCCAGAGACAAACTCAAGAATTATATATATCTTTGTCTGGCTAGCCAATACCTGGAATTTAGGGGGAGATACGAAAACACAGAGAAAAGGAATATCATAAAAGATCCCAAACGCAGGAAACTAACTACAGAAAACTCCTACAAGCTATTTGATATTGTCATGAAGACATGAGCGTACCTCATGCAGTCTGACAATATGTGGATGCCTGACAATTTTCATTATCGATATCTCCCTCTTAATCTGAAAGACGATTTACAAAAGAAGAATCAAATTAACAAAATACTTAGAACAGGAAGCAAAGAGCAAGTATCATTATATAAAAGTAATGGCAACATCCTTCTGGACATGAATGTTGCAGGCTTAATGAATTCATGACTTTAATTAGCAGAGGGAAAGCATGCAATTCCTGCCCAATCTCTGAGTTTGTTCAGTTTTTGATTTCAATGTAGTTTTTTCATCCATGGCAAAAGCCTTCACCACATATAGAAAATCATTTGAACATTCCTATGACTTCCTTGTTAAAGTGCTAGGCAATGTGAATCTTCAAGTGAGTAGTGAATCCAGGTGCCTTAAGGTAAAGTAGGGTTAAAAATGGATTTCATAATGTTCAGTTGACCCAAAACAAAGAGAATATGCCCAACAAGCCCAGAGAGTAAGTGCATATCCCGATCTTTTATGTGAACATGACAATATACTCATTAGGCAGCACTTGGACAGTCAACCCTTCCCGACATGTAAGAAGAATTTAGTGAAGTACCTGTTCTACCATTTTGTGTTTGAGAATGCTACTTTTGGCCATAACTTTCATGGCCACGCCCTCCTTCGTCTCCGTGTTACATGCAAACTTAACCTTGGCAAACGTTCCTTCGCCGACAGTCCGCCCCATCTCATACTTCCCAATTTTTCGAGATACCCGCTTCATGATCGCATTTCCCAGAAGAAAACAAACTCCGCGATAGTTCTCAACTACGAAACAGAATAGTTATAAGCACCCAACACGACCCAAAAAAAAAAAACATCAATCCATTCAATTCAACAAAGAGCATCAAATATGAAAAAGAAGTCCTCAATTATTCTATTCCAAAACTCAAATCAGCGTGAATTGAACGGTCGAGGCTAAAATGGAATTCGAATCATACACATCAGCTTTAGTCAAGAACACCAGTTATCAATTTCGCATCATTATTCCACTACGACGCAATCAATTTCTCTTCATGCTCAGGATCACAGTATTCCTAATACTCTTCCTATTTTCAGCATAGATACCCAAAATTCAAAAGATTCGCACGGAAATTGATCACAGCCAACCGACACAAGGATCTGAAAAATAGGGAGCAAAACCTTAGGATTGCGAAATAATCTTGGAACTAATCCATTTCCGTTTCCGTACGAGTCTCGGTTAGCAAGCAGAGGAAATCATAAATCGTCCAGAATTTATTCGCTAATTCGAACCAAAATGTGAGAAGCAGCTTAAAGAACAACAGGTGGCGAAACCAAGTAACTACGAATATTCAGGTGAAATACTTACCGGAATTTCGTTAATCACCGGCGGAGCAGCAGAAAAATATTGAAAAACGGTGCAATCAGGGAAGCACGAAAATAATGGCTTTGGTATAAAATGGTGGGCTTTCGTTAATCCATACCCGCAAGCGGCAAATTGCGCCCCACTCCCGCGAGTTCTGTCTTTTGCACGTGTTAGAATTATGGTATTTTATTAATATATTTTTAAGACTATTTATTTAGTTTTAATGTTATATTAAAATTATAACCGTTAAGGATTTGATTTTGAAGCTATATAAAATCGTGTATGTTATCATTTTTATTTAAATATATATTAAATAAAAATCAAAAAAATTATATAAATAATTTAAGTTTGACCGTAACAACCTAATATTTTGAAATCTTTAAAAAGTTTGACATTTAAACATGGTAAAGATTAGTATAAATTTGTTCAATTATTTTTATATTATAATGTATATAATTTTCAAATCCTAGACTACGAAAGTCAAAAGCCTCCTCCTACACCCTTTACATGCTAATAATATTTTTTCCAAAACATTTATTAATTGAAAAAATAATGAACATGTCTATGTCTAGACATAAGTAAAGAGATTTCTCCTAATTAGTTAAATAGTGTCTGTCTATGTCTAGACAGAAGCAAAGAGATTTCTCATAATTAGTTAAATAGTGTCTGTCTATGTCTAGACAAGAAGTAAAGAGATTTCTCCTAATTAGTTAAATAGTGCCAAGGACAGAGATTACAGTTTTTTTTATCTCCATTCCCATTATATATAGAAAAATACGCCGTAACAATTGAAATTTAAATTCTAAAAATTATATTATAAATAAATATTATTAAATTTATTACTATAAATATTACGGATGTGATGAAAGTTATTTGTTAATAAATTATTTGAATAAAAGAGCTATTTTAAAATAATAGATATAAAAAATAGAAAAAAAAATTATGCAGAAAGCTCGATCCCATAAATTCTCACGAAACATATGAAAATTTTGTGAATATGAATAATAAAATAGAAGGTAGAGATAAATAAGGGAATAGATTATGATCCCGTCTCATTCGTGTATGAAATTTTTGATATTTTATCCAAAATAGTTAATAAAGTTCGATGTGATAGGTGCAATAGTTTAATGAACACTTGTATTCTATTGCTATTTTCAAAAAAACGTACATAGAGTGATGTAAGAATCCACATTTTTCTTTGGTAGCATATAGTCAACATTTCATTAATAATATAAATGATAGCACCATTACAATTTCATAATATAATTTTCGAGCTATATAATGTGTTCCATTTCATAAAGTTTGAATAAATTTGAAGTAACTGAGTTAAGATTTATCATTGATTTAAAAATTGATGGTAAACTCTGATGTAGTATACTTAATGCGTTAGTTATAACATCGTACTGGTTAATATGCATGTCATGGCGTCAAGTGTCACAATCGCACTTTCGTGGTAGCATGATAGTGATTACGCGAAGTCAACTGTATGAGATTCGAACTGTGACGTCTCACATTGGTTAAGGAGGAGAATAAACCACTATTTATAAGGGTGTGGAAACCTCCCCTTAAAAGACGCATTTTAAAGCCCTGAAAAGAAGTCCAAATAGGACGATGGTGGGGTCCATTTGTGGAGATTCTTAGTTCTAATTGGAAGTGAAAAAGGCGATGCTGAGGTTCGTAAATTGACGACGACATCGTGCCAGAATTTAATAATTAATAATTTTCTGTCACTTTGGAAAGTTCCATATTTGGCAAGAATAAAATAAAATTTAAATCAATTTTATAACCTCTCGGGTGGCTGACAATTATTATTTTTCTTCTGATTTTGGAATATTATATATTAAGAAAGGGAGAGGAAAAATAAAAAATTAAATACATGGCTCACACTTCACTATTTTATTTAATTTTAAAATTTATTTTAATTTTCATTTCTTTTGCTACATTTAATTTCGAAATGTTATTTTTTTTTGTCATAAATACAAAAATAAAATAATATATAAACCTAATTTTAATGCATTTTTGTATCTATTTTATTTTGGTATTTTTAACTATTGGTTATTTTAATTCTTAAATAATTAAATGTTTTTGTGTAAAATTTATTAAAATATATTGAGGTATTATTTTTTGTAAAATAAATACCATAAAATTCCAGCCGCCGATATCATTGACGAGGTACGGAGGACACACTTCGCCGTCATCATTAACAAACAAAATATGAAATTACAATAATACCCCTAGATTGGCATTTTTGTCATTTTCTAATGGATTCACGATTCACCGTTGAATCAAGCCGTGGAGTCCACCCGTGACCGCAACCTTTCCTCTGGACTTGGCCGTGTGGGCCCCCAAAAAGCAACGTCCAGCCACTCATGGGCGAGAGTGGTAGAAATGTAAATATAGAAAAACATGAGGGCTTTTTAGCAGTGGAAAGTGAAATCCAGCTGTCGATGGGAAGATTGGGGATGTAGTTCTCTTGGCCACGTGACTGATTTAACAAGGGTCGTTAATAATCTGACACGTAACCAATCAACAGTAATCGTAGATCCCGACTCCCGTGACGTGTTCCTCTTAGCGGGTCCCATATTCTCTATATAGATTTTAAAAAAATTAAAAAATTAAAAAATAAAATTTACCACAATGTCATGGTCATATTTGTTTAAGAGATGTTGTCTATGACTACATGTCGATTATCTCGTTTATGCTTGTCTTGTCCATGGCCGCATGTCTCAAAATGTACGATAAAAATGCAACTAGCGGTTAAATTCTCCCTGTTCGGAAGTTATATGTCGGAGTTGCTATTTTGCTGATGGATACTTCTTCAAATCGTCTTCAAATGTATTTTCTCGCTCATGTTTTAAATTATTTTTCGCAAGCGTGATTCGAGTTTCAAGCATACGTCGATTTTGTTCGTGATGTTCAAATTTTTTTCACAATTAACTTGTTCATTGTATCAAAACAAATGCGGTGGGTGGGACACCCAAATAAAAACCGGGTGGACCGGTACGCGGTTTTATTAGTGTCATGTAGCCAACCGTCTCTTCCCCAATTGTCTTATAAAAATCTACAGCTGCGTAGGTCAGACCTCAAATAACTACACACGGCGTCCATACTTCCAGAAGAATGCTTCTGAGAAGTGCTTCGACTCCCCTTCTCAATTCATGGTTACACCATTCCAGAGATTCATCTGTAGAGACCGAGATTGTGCACCACATCCCAAAATCGCGTTCCATTGTCTTCTCTGGTTCGCCTAGTTGCTTATCTCCGATAATTGACGATTCTCCCCGGAGGATTACTCGGGCGCTTTCCGAGACGGATCTTCGGGACCTGTCCGTGTCTAGGACGAAACCCTTTAGCAGAACTCTGAGTGGGTTTTCTGAGTTGGCCGAAGAGACAGATGCGGTAGGGTTTAGCCCCTCCGAAATGACGTCTTTGAGCTGTGGGTCGATTTCGGAAACGGGAGATGGTGATGGTAGGTTTGTTAATGTTCTTGTTGGAGGTGGAGTTGGTGCTAGTGGTGGAAGTATCCATGGTGGCGGAGGCGGATCCGACGGTGGCGATGATGGGAGTTTTGGGTTTGGAGATTCGAATCATGGGAATGAGAGTACGGATCTGTACTATCAGAAAATGATCGAGGCAAATCCTGGGAATTCAATGCTTTTGAGCAATTATGCTCGCTTCTTGAAAGAGGTAAATATATGATCGAAGAACAAATGCTGTTCGATTTCAAACATTCGTACTATTTTTTTTGTATTTATGATTACTTGTTTCGGGTATTAGGTTCGTGGGGATCTTGTAAAAGCTCAAGAGTATTGTGGGAGAGCAATTTTGAGCAATCCGGGTGATGGTAATGTATTGTCCATGTACGCTGACTTGATATGGGAAACTCAAAAGGACTCTCCAAGAGCCGAGAGTTACCATAATCAGGCTGTTAAAGCTGCCCCTGAAGACTGGTAAGCTTTTGGATTTGATGATGAGATTCTTACTGTGGTTGTTTAATGGCATATTCATTGATTGCTTTTATGGTAGCAGTTATGTTCTAGCATCTTACGCACGCTTCCTTTGGGATGCTGAAGAAGAGGAAGAAGAACAAGAAGAACAAGAAGAAGAGAGTCTTAGAGAAGAACCAGCAACGAGGTTCTTCCAAGGAGTTCACCCTCCGCCGCCTATTGCTGCTGCTTCTTAGTTAGTTCTTAGACTTCTTTTGGCTTCATTTCTTTTGTGCTATAGCTTCGAAGATAACAGCTCTGGACCCTGTTTATATTCCCTTCTTGGCCTTAGTATTGATATCATCCATAGATATTGAATTTCCCCCTATGGAGTGAAAGTTGTAGAAAGGAAATAAGATATATGTTAGCTTAATACTTCGCGAGTACTCTATATCTGTTGTTACTGTGCTGCATTTGTTGATCCCGAGGGAAACGAGTGTCAGCGCTCTTGCTGGCATACCACCCTGTGTCCACCCTTTTGGGGTTCAACGTCCTCGCTCACATATCACCTCCTTTTCCTTACAAGCTTCCCTTCAAAGTTTTAAAAATGTGTCTACTGGAGGGAGGTTTCCACACTCTTGTAAAGAATGTTTCGTTCTCTTCTCCAACCAATATGGTCACACCCTTGTAAAGAATGCTTCGTTCTCTTCTCCAACCAATATGGTCACACCCTTGTAAAGAATATTTCGTTTCCCTCTCCAGCTGATGTGACCACACCCTTATAAAGAAAGCTTTGTTCCCTTCTCCAACGGATGTTGCCACACATTTATAACGAATGCTTCGTCCTCTTTTCAAACTAGTGTGGGATTTCCTAGTTACTTTCTTTGTCAGTTTCTTCTTCATGTCTTCCTATTAGGTTTGCTTTTTTCAACAGTCGAACATGGTGGATGGTGGTGGTGGTTCGAATGTTTGACATTTTATCTTGTCTGCTTGCTGTTGAAGATCGTCCAAGTATTCCCTATCCAGACAATTTGGATAAGACAACGATTTATTAGCTTGTAGTACCTCTTTGGCGAACTGCTGTTAACAGGGTACTAAGTAATTTATGGAGTTTGGTTCAACTTCAAAGGGATCCAAAACCAGCCTAGAACAGAGCCAACAACCATGACAGTGGCAGATAACTCTGCCTCAGTACTGATCACGATGACACTTGCCAGTTCGGTTTTCAGCCACCTTGGTTGTAGCTGATCTCTCACAATAGCTTTTTCACCTTCCATTTTCATGTTCAAGTGTTTTTCTGGGTTGTGCTGTTGTTGGGAATTTGAAACTATTCAAAGCTTAGGCTAAGCAGCACTGCCACCGAGGCTGCCAAGATTGGTGACTGTAATTTGTAGACTGTTTGAGCTTTTTGAATGTTTATCACCATTAAAAACACCTTCCCTCAGTCACCACCATGGGAGGGACTCTTTGAAGCTCTTTACTGAAACGACTGGCAGCTCAGTTTGCTTGGATCGCAGATGATTGATGGGATGACCTTGGAACGGATATGACTCATGAAAGTAAGCTTTGTGGGGGCAAGAAAATTGGACTGTATTACTTTTATCGCTTTCGTGACGTATAGTTTCTTTATTGTATTTTCTAGAGGATGATGTTTCGACGGAATCATGTCTCTGTTTGGTAAATCAGAAATGCCTCAGAATGGACTATAAGGAGATACGACTAGTCGTCAATTCTTCCTACTCGGAGTTATATGTTATCTAAGCCGCTGTTAGTTCATAATATTGTTTTCTTCATTTCTCTCAAATCTTGCTTTCAAACTCTTTTTCTAAGATATTTCTCTATCGTCGTTTTTAAAAACTTTCTTCTTAAAAGCAGGGCCAGAGGTTTGGGTATACGTCGTTAGGCCGAATGTGACACGATTTCGAGTTGGTTGACTCACTCGAGAGAGAATGCTGCACAATCACTTACAAATGTCCTATAAGAGTACGATTGTGACACTCGTGTTGGCAGGTTCAGTTACAGATTACACACCTAATTTGATTTCATACGATTCAAATAGTCCAGGTTCGTACTTGTTTATACAAACTACAACACCATGATATCAAGATGATTCATTATAAATCAAAGGAAAATAGAAACTTTGTACCTAGTTAGAAGACATACGAGATATTTAGTAACGTGTGCATCCAATCTAATATGATTCTTCCTTCAATTCTTTTAAAACGAGTAGCTCTACTAAATACGATATCGTGTGACAACGCCACAGAGAAAACGAAAAGATGCTATAGTTTTAACGCTCTCATGTCAATCTAAACACAATTAAGAAAGTAATTGAACGACATACGATTATTTACTTTCACATTTTACGACAAGTCGTTTGAAGAAGTAATAAAAGGAAGGTTGACATGATTGCGGCTTATGGGCTCGCAGTCGTCGCCACTAAGTCCAGTTGACATATTTCCAAAGAGTAAAAGGAGCGAAAAACAGTCGCCGACGGTGCTCTTACTACCGTCGCCGACGCTGAAGCCGGACCGCGTGTGTTGGAGGAAACATGGAGAGGGCTGAGGGAGGAACGTCGTCGACACCATACGGCGGTGGAGGAATCGGAGGCAAAGTTCGTAAGCCAAACTCAAGAAAGCCGCTGCCTTCCCCTTACGCTCGGCCAGTGCATAACCAATCGCATAGGCGTTGGCTTTCGAAGCTCGTTGATCCGGCCTACCGGCTCATTACCGGCGGCGCCACCCGATTGCTTCCATATTTGTTCCCCAAACCACTGCCCTCTAATGCCCTTCCGTCTCCTGGAGACGAAGATCAAGGTCATTTGCGCTCTCCCCCAATCTTCTCTACTGCTTTGGGTTTTGGACATCGCATTATCTTGGTTGAAATCATTATCCTTTTTATACTCTCTATTTCAATTTTAGGCATTTTAGGAAATTGATGGCTTTTATGATCCTAGTTAACTGACTGGTGAGGTTTCTAATTTTTTCCCCTTCGTAAGCATCTTTCTGCATTTGCAACGTAAAATTTCTAATTGACATAAGTGAAAGTATTGTAGCTATGTTGTTACCATGCTGCTTGCATATATCTAGTAGATATTGTTTACATCAGACTCCAGAGAATGTTATTATTGGTTTGTTTTGTACATTCTCTTGTAAGATTAGTTGTTGATGTGAATTCTTTTTGAGCAGATAAAGTGGAGGCAGAGGTGGAGGATAACGTCTCTGGAGAAGAACCCCAAAATGTAAATGTAGCTCTTTTTTGTTATTTTGTTACATTTTTGCTGTGATGCCGTCTTATGAATGAGTATCAGGGTATTGTTTTGATAACAGACAAATGAACAGTCATATCCAAAAGTGCTTACTGGGGTTTTATCAAAATGAGATAGAAGTCAATCAAAATAAAAGACATAGGGCAAGGGTTACCCACTCTTAACAGTCACTTTTTGCTGGTGGCCGTACTTTGATTGGTTTGTAGCCTAGAAGTTTATTACTGTTTTGACCTTGTGAGTGCGCTCATGCTTGTCTTCCAGCTGAAGTTATTGATCTTCCATTAAACTTCGATGTTCAGTCAGATGTTGATATTTGTTTTCTGCGTGAAATCTGACTGTTTACTAGTTTAAATTTTATTTACCAGGTGTCGTTTTTTTTTCTCTTGTTTCACTTTTCTGTATAGCAATATTCTTATTCTGGTCCTTATGGCTTGGAGTTACAAAATCACATTGCTTGTCCAAACTTTTTGGTTAACACCCACGGAATGATTTCCTATGTCCTGTTTTTGTTTTTATTTCATTCCATTTTACACTTTTACTTTTCATTTGAAAAATTATATGCATGCAATAATGTGATTCATCAACATACAGCCTGGTTCATTTCTTGCAGCTAGGGGTTTCTACCTTAGTTGGATTACCTGGTTCTAGTGGAGAGGCAAATAGATCAGAGAACAATTCTGATTTTAATGGCTGCCAAAAGGACAAAGAAAATAATGCATTAGGCGGGAATGGAAAAATTGATGTTGAAAAATGGATCCAAGGAAAAACATTTTCGAGGTAACTTGCAGAGTTTGACTATTTTGTTTGTTCTATCAACGAAGTGGTGTGTCATTTATTGTCTAAGAAACATGGACATGGACACAATCCAACATGATATTGATGTAGATATGATGACTCATTTACTAACAAATTTAGACAGAGACATGACGAGGACTTGTTTGGTAAAATATCCATTTTCTGATTATATTTGAACAGATCTCAATAATTTACAGACAGAAAGTGTATTTTAATTTTACAATATTGGTGTTTGGAAGTCAGTTTGAAAGTGATATAATATGCAATATTTTGAAGAAGTTGAAGAAGCCAATCCCAACACATGCTTGACTAGTATCTGAGTTGTCCACAACACGTGAAACCAAATCATGATCCCTAAACTATAGTGTGTTCATCTTCAACTTTTTCATCACAGGCTTCAGTTGAAGTGTTTCGTCTCGTTGAAATGCAACTGGACGAAACATTATTGTGAAGCAACTTATTTTATTTATAATTCCATGGTGGTAGTACTTTCCTCTGCTATGAATAAATAGGTTATTTGATTTTGAGGTTGCATCCAAGGGATAGTCAAATGTCCATATATAGCAGTGTCAGTAGTCTCGATAATTTCATTTGCAACAATATTTAACAGCATTGCCTCTGTGTCTAAACTGGTAATGGTGCAATGCCTTATGTCCGTCCAAGGGTAGTCAAGCGTCCAATATTGGTGTTCTACCATATGCTGGTAGTGGCGCAATGTCTGTAGTCTCTTTCGATCCTCTTAAACATTTTCCACGGCCACATAGCCAGTTTGAGTACTGCATTTCTCTAAATTGGCTGATATACTATGCAGGGATGAAGTGAGTCGTTTATTAGAGGTACTACAATCAAGGGCTCTTGAACCTTCTAATAAAGTGGAAGACAATACATTTTCCCCACAGAGCATTGAAAAACAAGTTGAGCAGCCATCTACTGCAAATAGAGTTCTTGAAATGCCTCGTGAAGGAAAGCAAGAAGAATTGGAGAGAGCTACGGGGGGAAACTTAACTCCTCATCCACATTCATTGGTCAGTAGGGTGAATCCTTGAGTAGTTTCTATAGAAAGTAAATATTTCCTGCTGTTATGAACTCAGAACTTCTTTTACACATTAGTGCGGACTGTAGGATTATTTCTGCCATTTTCACGATAGCTTATGTTCCTTTTATAGGTTTTATTAGTTCATGCTAGTATTTAGCGATTGTGTGTAATGCTGTTCCATAGACAGTGTTCTTTTTCTATATATATGTCTATACACACACACAAATTTGAAGATCAAAAAATCATCCTAGGTAACTTATTTCTGTATTCATTAATAGTATAATGTATTAAACATCAAGGAGACCGGTTCCAGTATTGGGATGGTCAAAAACTAGATCAAATTGAATGCCTTATCCATTACTACACGATTACTAGGTTTTTCATATTTATAGTTATATTCAAGTTATTGTTTTAGGACTCTTCTTATTACTAAGTAATTAAATTATGTAGAAGATATCTGAAAATCAAATTGTAAAACTAGTGCTGATGAGACATTCATTAATCAAATCAGTAAAATGAATTATCTCTGTTAGGAATATGGTAAATTTGGTTAATGTTGGAAAATCAATAGGAAATTAACATGTTAAAGCTCTAGGATTGGGATTTGTACAAGAATCTACAAATCTTCATTGCCAAAGTTTTCAATTTTTGTTCACTGTTTAGAGCTTGCTATTCAAGTTTTTCTGCCTCTAATAATTCAGCATTGAGTGTACTTTAGCAGAAACTAAGAGAAGTTGGAGCATCACCTGTGGATATTGCAAGAGCATACATGAGCAACCAAAAATCTGAACCAGGCTTAGCTTCGGACAAGATGCCAGATGATGAAAAGGCTTTGCGTCATGGTGATCATCAAATGTTTAAGCCTTTTATTCCATCAATGTCCCCCAATCCTTCAACTTGTTGGCCTAGTGCCATGTCAGAAAGTCAACGTGGTTATGTAACTCCAAGAAGTCAAAGAGGTAGATTTGGTCTTCATAATTTCCCTCGGACTCCATATTCTAGGAGTATCTTTTCAATGTCCAAATCCAAGTCTAAGGTATATACAAACGGTCTTCAATTCCATTTTTTTTGGGTTATGACCTAGTGTATGTAACCAGACCATATGATTAACCATTCCTTTACATGTTAACAGCTAACTCAGTTGCAAGGAGATGGCCAAAAGTTTGTGAATACACCATCACCTCTCTGGCAGAGGTCACGATCTCCAACTTATTCCATGGTAATTTCTTTTATCATTAAGCACTCAATGACTAAAAGCCAATAATATATGACCACAGGAACTCTTGTTGAGAAGTTCTTTTGTAGCATGTATATTGAGCTTCTGTACAGAACAAATTTGCGTCCATAATGAGTAGCCATTTTAAGGTAGTATAAAAGCTGATCATTTTAACGCGAAGAATAAAAGCTGAAATATTATAGAGAACTGTAGTATACTTTTTGTGCATGTGTATTACAGGGTAGAGCTATAAACTTCTGTAGGGGAGGGCAAAATTTTACACTTGAACTTCCAAAATACGCTATTTTAATTTTCAAAATTCCAAAGGCAAGTTATAGGAAAAACTATTAACTTAAAAAACTTGGTGGTTTTATGTATGTATGACTCCCGTATTGAGCATGTCATTTATGTGTTATTGACCCTTCAACCTTTACTTTGACCGAAATATTCAGTTATCCTTGATCTTTTGTTTCTTTCATCCGCTTTCTGGTAGGATGTACATTGACCTTGCGGTTTATCCATTACCTTGGTGCCTCTATGAAAATGTGGCTATGGTTGTTGCTGTTGTGCTGCTTTGTCAAGCCCAAGTATAATTCTTTTGCCATAACCCTGATATAAACAAGTTAGATTTATGATTTTTCATCCAAACTAGAACTTAACTGATTAGCTGCAAGAGTTTCCTTATCTATGGGCCTATAGGTGGTTGCTTAATTTTTAATTATTGAGCAACTCATTCCAGGACGAGCTTTTAGTTCAGTTTGTAGTGTTTAAGTGTCTGATTGTACGTTAAGTTCTGAATGCAACTTTCGATACTGAATATTGCATTAATGCTTCCTGAGCATTATCCGCTGCTGGTTCTTATTAGTGGTTTGCATTTGTAGTGTGCCAAGCTCAGGTTCCTTCCGATTACTTCTATCATTATTATTTTTTCTGTTTGTCTATATAGATGACTTCAAGCAAGGATCCATTGGATGAGGCAACTGGTTCCATTGGACTGACTTGTAGCCTTCAGCATAAGGCATCTGCAGTTACTAATTCCAGACGATCTGCTTACTTTTATCCTCCTCAACAACCAGAGATGGAAATAGAGAACAATATTTCGGAAGCAATTTTCCCTGATATGAAGAAGAATCTAGATCGTGGAGGAGCAAGCACCATTCCTCTATCACAATCAGTGGGAATCAACAACTCTGAGTCGAGTCTACCGACTGTCCGTCCACAGTCCAGTCAGGTTGTTAGGACAATCCTAGAGCATATTACTAGAAACCCACCTACTCCTAAAGAAAAGACTGAAGAGTTAAAGAGAGCAATTGAATGGAAGAAAACCCCATCTGCCAATGTACCATCGGTCAAGCCAAATGAAACCAGTAGTTTGGCCGTAGACATAGATTCTCACCAAAAAGCAAACCAAGTAGATCAGAACTGTCACCCCCAATTGAGCGATGAGGGGAAAACCATGTCCACGGTTCTTCCAAAGGAGGGTGCTGGCAGAAATCCTGATGCTGCAAACCAGAATCCTTACGGTCTGAAGTTTAGGCTTAGCAATGCTGAATCAAAACACAAGGATGATGCAGGCTTAAATATTGGTAGCTCCTCGCCTAAGGTATCATTGCAACTTTGTAATTGGTTTTAGTTATTTAAATGTATTACTGACCGACTTACAGATGCTTCTTGTGTATGTATTTTGATATTATTAGCATATGCTTGAAGAGTTCTTAATTTCTGGTTGAATTTATGGGCAGGCTGTTCCCAAGATCTTTCCAGCTCTTGGATCCGAAGTGTGGACTCAAATCAAGCCTTCCCCCTCTCTTGGAGGTAAACCTATTTTTCCATCCATTACGATCAGCAAGCCCGAGTCAAAATGGGCATTTTCTTCCGACAGTGGTTCGGCATTTACTTTCCCTGTTTCGGGAGCATCCTCAGGAATGCTCTCAGAACCACCAACACCATCTATCTTTCCATCAACCAGCCTTGGGGGAGGTCAGCCTCTGTTATTGAAGACTGAGACTCCAGTTCCTTCATACAGTTTTGATTCAAAGAAGACCAGCCCTAGCCTTGTTTTCTCATTCCCTTCAATAAACAGTGATACAATCGGCCCTGAAGCCTCAAATATTAAGTTTAGCTTTGGATCCGATGATCATACGAGACTTTCCTTCGGTTCTGTTGGGAAAGATGCAGTTTGTTGCTAACTGGTTAGACTTCTGAAGTATAGTTTTGAGTGGAATGACCACAAGAATTGCCAAAATGGGGTTAGAAACTAGTGCCAAATACCCTAGTGTTTATGAACAAATAGGAAATTGCAAACTCAATCATAAACAGTAAACAGCCTCAGTGCCAGTTGACGGCTTTATGCATATGTTCCATTCCATTCCATTCATGATTATGTTATCAGGGCAATGCTTTAGTTTCCTGTACATTAGTTTGGATTTGATCAAGCTGTCACATCATTAAGTAAGAACACGATTCCTCATTTAAGTTTGCTTGGTTTGATGTTTGAAGCAGGCAGAGTAGTTTCACCACATGTGAAGAGTTTGATGCAGATTCCCAAAGAATTCCAGAAAAATCTGGGAAAAGGGAATGGGATACCTACCTACATCCTAATTCCTTCCTACGCATGAAAGAAAGAAGTAGATATCTGAATAGATGACAGGGTAGTAGGGAAGGGCATAGGACAAGAACAGGTCCACGTGGTCAGGCTCCAAATCACAAGTGGAGGAACAGGTTGTGGTAGCCAGAGAGAGGGACTCACATGTGTTGCTCTAAATTTTGCATGTAACGAGGAAGTCATTCCATCCTATCACAGGTAAAGATAAACTCGAATGGTGGTGGGGCGGGCGGGCGGGGGAGGGCCCCCCCCCCCCCCCCCCCCCC